TTGAAACCATGAAGATCTCTAAACTGTTCAGTGGACTGATTCATTTCTACACACATTTACACATTTTTGAGGACAGAGCTAAAAACTGTTGGATGGTCTGTGGTTAAATTTGGTACATATGTTCATTCACTGGCTTTTAAAGATTTCATTAAAATGTTCTTTTTAAATGGGGAAAGATTATAAAGCATGCATCTTTAATCATCTAAAACAAAACAAGAATGGAAGCAGAAATTTTAATACATTTTCTCTCTAATCCACGCAGGATCAAAAGTATACGTACCAGCCCCTGGCCCAAAATCAGCAGCTTCAAGTTCAACTGAAAAGAGCAGCTGCCCCACATAGACAAGCCAAATGCCTTCTGAAGCAACGTTTTATGATCAGAAGGGACAAAAACTGAGCTATTCGGCCAGTTACAAGAGGTGTATTTGTAGGAATAAAGCTGAGGCTTTCACAACAAAGAAGATTATAGCATCTGTTCATGCTCAAGGGTGTTTTGTGCCCAGTAGTGTGTATGGATGCACAAATAATGAAGAAGGAAAACTACCTCTAAATTCTGAAACTTTACATCAAATTAACAGCTAGATAAACTTGACCTGATAAAACCTGGACACATTAAGGTGTTCCAGCAGGACACAAACACACATCCAAACTGGTTTTGGAATGGAAATAGCAAGCTTGTGAAATGACCATTGAAAAGTCCTAACATCACCCCTATTTAAAAAGTATTGATGTTCATGGGCATGATGAGTGCATGTAAACGTCTGCCCACAACTGTATTTTTGAAGGCATGAAGGCCTGTGAGCCCTCCAGACTCTCACTGGATTCAAAGTGTATCTGCCATTGTGTCTCGTACATGTAGTTGCGGACAGAGTCAGGCAGGATGACCACACAGCGCTGCCCCTCCTCCAGCTGCTCAGCCATCTTCACAGCTGCTGCCATCGCTGAGCCAGAGCTGCCACCTTCAGCAAAACAGGCAAATCGATCATTTAGAGCGAACTGAGGTTGCTCATAACATACCACAACTCACTGATATGAACTTACCGCACAAAAGACCCTCCTCTCTGATCAGTTTGCGGGACATAAGGAAC